AACAGTGGAGGATCTTCTTATCGCTGCTCTGATGCATATGTGAAGGGCACAGGGTAGGTTGGGTAATTTTGTGGCGCGCGAAAAAATATATGATATATGTTGGTTTTGTACAGTGCGGGTCAATTTTTTATGCAAATGTGCGTTTTTTATTCCGAGATTAATGATAATGAACAACTTGTCACTATCATAGCCTCGAACGGTTACTTTATCACATCACATGTTCATAGCAATGTTTATGCGATATAGTTTCGGATCGATTCTCATTAATGTCGGCACCCGTTTAAAGTGAAGTGGTGTAATACTCCATGTGAATTATAAGACGTATATATTTCCGCGACCGATAACACGATTGTGAAACTATTGTTTCTCATATCACGGGAAAAACTTTACTGTTTTTCTCCATGAAAACTCCCATGTTTCTTAAACTTGTATGGAGATTTGGTCGGAATCCTCGGAATTATTGTTATCGAGACGCGTATCATTGTCATTGGATAAAAGAGAGAAGTAAAAAACTCACATTGAAAATTGCCAGTGTTTATCAGATATGTTTCATCGATTTACTTTTTTCGACAATTGGTAATTTCGTGGCGCGTGACAGAATTTTCCTGCAGGTTGGTATTACGATAAGTTTCATCGGAGCTGTAATAATCTATCGAAATTGTAGAATATATGGTAACTAGGAGAGGGTTTTTTCTCGAACTGGAATCTCGGGAATTCCGAGGGTGTAATTTTCTCTCAGCTAATCTGAATTGTGTTGTTTTAGTGAATCAATCAATGCGGGCGTTCCAACGCAGTTATAGTGTTTCCAGAAATACTATGGCTACTGTGGGAAAATATGTAAAGGTCAACTACGTGTGTCGAAATTCTGAGGAAATTTTTGGCAATTTTTTTAGTTCAACGCGAGTTCGTTTTGGAGCTCAGCTCAGGAGAGCGAACGCGTTTTCCAACACTGTTATGGTTGAAAAATATTTTATTTATGGTATTCATGATTTAACGCTGAGACAGATAATGATGTTGGCTAACATTACTGTCAAGTTGTCGAGGATGCGATAGCCTGCATTATAATGGAAAGAGTTCGCGAGAGGTGGATTCTGAGAACTTCTCAGTGAGAAGTGAGTGAAAACAGGCAGAAATGTGGAAGATGAATATCTTTTGCAGTTAAGTAAAATGAGGCGTATGTACGTTAGCGAGTTCAAGGAACTGGTAGAAGGGTTGCAGGAATATGAAGTGGAGGAGTTGAGGTGGGTGAATATGGTTGGGAAATACAGAAAATGAGTATTAATCGATCGAATTGTGGTATTGTTGATCACGGCGATTGCAATACAGTTTTGGTGATGCGGTCTATATGGACTTCACCGCGTGGTTCCTGGTGTCCTCATTTATACCGTGAGAATACATAGTACTGTTGTATATTCCGACGCGGACGACGGCATGCATTGTACTGTTCGGTAGTACAATACATTACACATGCGCGGTTATATTCATTTTTTCTCCGGTGTACTCCACAATGCATTTCGACATACAACAGTAACTGTTGTAATATACTATATCGACAACTCTAAACGGCGGTTGTAGCAGCTGTGAAAATTATGGTTCCTGTCTCGGGGATCGAACGTGGCTTCCTCATGTGAGTACAACGCTGCCATGAATGGTATGAGGAGTGATTCTTACACAATTCGGCTTTGGTGGCGAGTTCTGGCAGCGACACGCATTGAAGGCGGCTGAGAGTCTTGGCCTATGAACTGATGACATGGTTATTGCATTCAAGTGCATCAGAATTATCGAATTGTGAAGCGGCCTTCTGAGGGAGAGTTACGTGGCTGTACATGTGCTGATCATGGGCAGCACGATCTATGCATCACGGTGATTGGCCGTGTATATAGATTGAAAATAAAGTCGAAGGTTCAGATGGGACGGGGAATTTGAACTAGATGGGGAGCGTTGTCTTAATTCCAAAGCGGGAGTATTAAAGAGGCGACGCGAATCCGATCGCCCGGTTGGAAGTTGAGACCGCAAAAGTCATCGAGTTCATCAACATCACATATAATATGGACTGACTAAAACGTCGTGGGTTGTTGATGCAAGACTGTGGAGCATTCGCTCTGGAGCGGCGCTGTGACTTGTATACAATATCTGATAGGAATAACATTTACGTCTCCGTTTTCCTCTGCCATCAAGATGGTATGCTCCGCAGTATGCAGCTTTATAGTGCTCTTGTGGATTCAAATCACCCCTTTGGGTGAGTCAAGTTCCATTGATTAGCTGTCTTGTGTTTTGTCTTTGGAATCGAATGAAAGAATATTCTTTCGAAGTATTTGAGTGACATATAACTGTAGAAAATTGGGAAATTTCCGGACTGGCCCGACTGTGTTAGTGCTGTTCTTTACTGTCATTGTTTACAGGTGTCCCAGGATGAGCTGTGAGGGCGACAATGAAGCCGAGAGAAACCAAAATCTGTTGAATCCCGTCGGAGGCATCTCGCTGGGAGCTCTCGGTTGTGGATGAAGAAGCCTAGCTTATCGCGTTGCGTGTTTACTAAGTAAACACGCAAGTAAACTTTACTTGTATTACTGGTGATAGGAGAACAATGTTTGCTTTCTTATACCTGTTCTGTTACGAATACTAAATCTGCTACTAGTACGAACTCTGTTGTTAGTACAAATATAATACTAATTATTAGTATCAATCTAATATTAAGTACTAATCGAACTAATTACCAGTACTGTTACAGTCCTAATCCTAGTACTAATTCAAGTACTCTTTACTAACCAATACTAATTCTGTCATCAGTAATAATCAATAGTAATCACTGTTACTAACCTAGCTCTAATTAGTACTGTCATAGTACTCATCCTAGTACTACTTACTCACCGATAATAATTTTGTTATTATTGCTTTTCGCTTTTCTGTCCTTCTGCTTGGTTTCCTTTGGGGATGTACAGCACACGCAAACCTAGGGGGGAGATAGCATGTCAACTTATCAACTGCAGCTAAAATAGAGTTCTGTATAGGGACTGTTCTAACAGCAGTATTGTGCAACGGAAAGCGTTGCTAGCTGGGTTTACTATCAGTTCGATGAGGGGTGGTATTGTTAAGACAACAAACGCTGATAGATGGAGAGAACGCGTGAAAAAATGTTCATTACGTGGAACGATATCGAAAATAATTTCAAATACACCGTGTTACCAGAAAAAGGTGAAAATTGTAAAGAAAAATTTCCTGTTTTTTTTCTCAACTCATTTCGATTAGTTGTTTTTGCAAGGATGTCA